AAAGCGATCTGGAGAACCAAAGTAAGGGGCCGAAACTTTGCAGGGACATTCTCTATGTAAGCGTAAGCTAAAGATTCCAAATTCAGCTGTATTTTTCACGCAAGGGCGTATGAAAGTTCCAGCGGGAAAATTACTAACTCGCTTCCGGGACCTGCATCCATGCGCCTGGAACATAGACCCTAGCTTGAACCTCTAGCTTGTAAGTCCGAATTTCGTCTTGTGCGGTTTGGTGCCACCTGTCACACTAATTCCGTAACTTCACTGCCAATGTTACTTGGCACCCCAAAAAATGCCGGAGCTTCAAAGCCACCCGACTTTTGTTTCATGCAGCCGGGATATGTTTCCACAAAACAACCCGGTAAATAAAGTAAAGCTCCAGATCTTAGACTCTACATATACGAGGTATGCTGGCAATGTCTAGTGGTTTACAGGGACAGCGCAAATCTTTGCTCCTTTGTTCTATTTTTAAGATCACATTGCAACATGAAATCCGGCCTTGCTGTCGCGGTACAATAGTATACCAAGCTCTCCTTCTGGCGACTTGTGCAGACACTGTACCACGTTCTGTCAGTCGTGTGCTGAGTGAGTACCATGTGAAGGCGGTTAATCAAAGTGCCAAGCAGATGCAAAAAGTACAAACTGCGTAAAACCTAGTCGGTTGGTGATGATTATCTCAAAATACGGTCTATTCAGGATGACAGCGTGGATGACGTGAAAACCACGCATCTTATTACGAGAGACCTCGTTCAACCGTTTGAACACGGGTTATTCATGCTTGTTCCATAATTGAGGCAATAAAATAAACGTTAGACATGTAGGCGCTGAATGTATGTGAATATTTGAGATTATCCAGGCTATTTTGTGCGCCTACGGTTTTTTATGCGTTTTTGCATATATGCAAATTGCAAAAATGCATATTGTGAAGAGGCTGTCTGTGTGTTTGTACTTTTTGTCACCCATTTTCAACTCGACAACCGGAAAACGTAGAAGACTTAAATTCTAGGGTAATGTTTCCTATCCAAGTGCGATTTAAAAATTTCAAAATCAGCTTTCCAGGTACGTGGGGTTATCCAGGCCATTTTGTGTGGTGGGAAAATTGCTAAGTCAGAAACCAGAAAAGCTTGAAAGCTGAAATTTTAGGGCAACGTCCCTGTCCAAACACAACTTAAATATTTCAAATTCGGCCTTCAGGTGTGCGTAGCTCTCACGTGTGGGCACTTAAAAGTTTTGACGGGAAATTTGCTCACTGAACAGCTAGGTTACTCTCAAAAAATGACCGTTCGGTGAAAACTGTTCATTTACTTTATGCAAAATTTATGGTGGTTTGCGCAAGCGAGCGCAAAAGGTAGGTGTAGAGCAATAACTAATCATGTAGTCAATGACCTGAGTACTTCAAATCTGGCGCAAAAACGCATGATCACACTGGCAAGCCCGGTGCTTTCTAACCTGGATTTTTCAAATATTCATGGCCCATTTTTATGTCTTCGCGGTACAGGAATGAGAACGCTCGAGAAAAGACAATAGCGCATTTACTGAGGAAAAGTTGAGGTTGGCATACATCAGGAGACCGAAACAGTTGTCAGGATCGCAAACAGGCTGACCACCAGTTAATGCAGAATTAGTCAAGGCAGCTGGAAGAGCTGCCAGCTTGACTGAAAATTTCAAGCATCTATTTTTCAATTTTACCTATTTTTCCGCCGTTTTAGTCTATTTAGCTCAGTTCAGTGTCCTTATATCCTTGTATTTTCAGGATATTCAGTCCGTCCTATTACTTTTTTCTATTCCTGAAGCTTGCTGGATTTAAATGTTTTTTCTACTCGCGAAAATTTTGCCGTTTTTTTCAGTGCCAAACTGACCAAAACAGTTTTCCGCTTCTTTTTGTTAACATTTGAAAGGTTTCTCCGCCAATAACTTCTCCCAAAAATGCAGGATTGATGATTACTACCACCCGCGTATGCTCTCCATAAAAGTATCGCTTTTCATTCACTACAGCTGCGCCATTTTCAATGTTCAGGGTAAGTTATGAAAATATGCATTTGTATAAGTGACAGATATGATCTTTTAATATGTTGTTTCATTCCTATGCATTTTAGTTTCTACCGATGCTATGCAGATACTGAGTTTTTGTGAATGTGTGTGCGTGTGTGTGTATTTGTGTGGGGGAGGGAGTGGTGTCCGGGTTTATTAGTGTATCCATTTTCCCGGATTTTGTTACCTTCTTTCAATCCATTAACTAAAACAGTTGGAAAGCTGAGATTTCGCGATTTTTCCGGACCATGCGGAATGCCACAAACGTAAAATGAATTCTCACTTCTCAACAAATTCTCACCTTAAGTTCAGACGATCAAGAATTAACCTTGAAAAAACGTTCTCGCCAAACAGTTTAGAAAGCCAGACAAATTAGAAAGCTAAAAATTGCATGAATGCCCTCTATAAGTATGCGGCCTACACGTGCGCTTATACCACGCGTGTGGACAAATTAAAGATATCGTGGGAGAAAATGATTCAGGAGCAAAACAAACCAAAAAGTGAAATTTTACGAAGATTCCCCCTACCCAGTTGAGACTCAAGAACTGGAATACTTTTATCTTTTGCATACCACCAAGTCAAATTTTGAGCTGCAAAATTGTTGGTATCCTAACAAAAACGATGAACTTTTGCGTAGATATTTGCCGTTCATGTGCAGTTCAACAAGCATAAAATGAGCTTGCACATCGCTCAAGATATCTTAGAACGTTGAAAATTGCAAGCTCCTCAGTAAGAGGTCAAACTAGTTGACCGTCTGGACGTTTTGAATTTCTGACTCTATTTAAGGATCTACAAAATTAGTTTGTAAATTTTCTTGTTGAAGAAATAACCCCTCAGCCAATCGGGAAAAAGTAGGTACGCATAGATGCCAAAAATTATTACTGGTGTCAAAATCAAGACAGCCCGAGATGAATGGGTCTGGTATTTTTGTAACATTGAAGATTCCTCGTCAAAAAAAAAAAAATTGTTCTCTAACTGCTCACACAAAAATTTTCCACTGGGGTCAGTAACTTAGCATGTGGCTGTATTTCAATAACGATGGTGGGCCCTCACTGGTATTCCTCTAGCTACATTGGCTGCTCAACCAGGTGCTTCAGTACTTACGCTGAAATTACTAAACTTTTTAATGATTGTCCAATTGAAGCAGTTCTGCAAGCAGTTACGGACGAGGAGCCGTTTCGAGAATGCAAAGGACAGTGCTGCGATGAGCACAAATTTTGCAATTTTTGGGCCAAAATTGGCGAGTGTAAGCTGAATGCTGTTTGGATGTCCGAACAATGTCCACTGTCCTGTCGCCTTTGTCCGACAGATCTTTCCCAGCACAAACGTTCGTTTATTGTGACCAAAATTTTCTTCTTTTTTTTCCTCGTGGGAAAAAATCCAAATACAGCTTTTAGATAAATAGCGATAACAGCCTGAAACAAGCTGAAAAGAGTTTTTCCGACAAAACACTCAAATCGAATGTAGCGCAGACTGTAAACACATTAGATGCTAGGATATGCTGATAGATAATTTGATTTGAAAACTGGTTTTTGAATAGTTTTTTTGAAAACTTTTTTCCTCAAAAACTTTCTTGACTTTTTTGAAAACTTTTGAAAACTGTATAATTTTAACGCATTTTTTAACATTTTTGTAGGAGAATTCTTGATACAGCATCGAGGGTGAATACGTAAAAAGTTTAAAAAATTTCACTATACCTGGATGATTTCATTACCCATGCCACGGAGCTGTATCATAGTATTCCATACAGTCGGGTTAGCAGATCTAACAAGCACATCGTTAACCTTCCTAGTGGCCTTTTTTTTACATTATTAGAATAGCACATTTACAAAAAGATGTCGCTTCGATAGCGATACCACAAAAAAAACGTTCAAATATTGTTTTGAGTCCAATTTGCAGAAAGCGATACCCGTAAAATTCAGCAACAAACCCTGAAATGTCTTCAGCCAAATACTGTCGAAGGTGAGACTTTGCTGCACTTGCCAGATTGAGAGTTTTGCTAATACTGTATTAATAGTAAATTTAGTTACAGGGCGTCCTTCAGGAAGAAATGTATCCTTGATTTTAGTATTTCTTCCACAACAACTGAACTAAATTTTGGCTCCTTTCGCATCTCAGGATAAAGCAGTAAATGTGATACAGTTGTGCTCAACGTATAACAGCATTTCAAAGTCGTAAAGGTCAACCCACCATTAGTCTTGATGAGCAACCGCGGCTGTAAATTTCTAGGAGCCCTAATTATGCAAACCATTATTTTAGCTAAAATCCGTGTGACTGTGCCATCAGCGGAACATTGATATTTTTAAAAAAAGCTTTCTCAAAAGATTTAGCTGAAAATAATTTTCATGATTTTTTGAAAAGAAAATTACGCATTTCCTAAAGTAAGTTTCTTGCTTAATATTTTAATTTTTTACAATGAATGATCGAATAAAAGCACTCTGATGAGTATTTCCATTCTCTTAGCTCACTGCATTCTTGCCAGTAACAGATAAACTGTGTTAACGATTGATAAGTAAAATAGACGTTTTGTATTATTCGATTCAGTGTTTTCAAAGATTCTAGTTGTTTCTTTAGCAATACCACGTCGTATCACATCAACTAGCACAATGAATGGTATGTGTACGCGAACGAATATTCCAAATAATTGCTTCCGAGATGAGTGTTTTCATCAGAGTTATCGTACCTTCGATGGTTCCTGTAACAATCTAGCCAATTCGTTGATGGTATTTTTTTTTTTCACTAATAGCGCTTTTCGCGTTTTCCACGAAAAAGTGGAACAGTTTCACTTTCTTGAACGGATTAATTCAGTAGGCGAGGGAGAAGTAAAAGACACTTACTGGAAAAATCGAAAATATGAAATTATTTCAGGGTGCTGCATATACGCCCTATGTTCGCTTGCTTGATCCGGCTTACGACGATGGGATCAATGCCGTTGTAGGTTTGTTCTAGCTTAGTAATTATGCGGCTTATAAAACGGTATTTTGGAATGGGATTCCGCAAAACGTTGAAGAATTCTGTAGAAATCTGGCATTAGCTTCACAGGCTTGCGTTAACTGCCTCGGCAAGAAATTTAAAATTTTATTATCATCTGTAGCAAAAACTTATCTTTTTTTAGCGGCTTTTAAATTGTCGAAATTTAAGTTTTGAGGTTTCTTTAAAGCTTTTATTACTGCAAAATAAAATTTTAAATTTGCAAAATAAAATTTGCAAAATTTGCAAAATAAATTTCCCATTTCAGGTTCGCTACGGCAAAACCGTCCAAATGCTCGTTTAGTTTCGCGGTCGCTACTGTCATCGCGTCGAATGATAGCGTCGAATGCGAGCAGTATGCTGATGCAATTCGGGCAATTTTTGAGTCATGATATCACCAAAAATAAGCTTGTTGGCCGGTGTACGTGTAGCGGAGGCCCCGAGTGCATGATCGTTGCACTGGGTCGCGAAGATAGGAGGTTAGCAGCATTTCTCAGCAATTTTATCAGCATAATTATATACAAAGACACTTCTGGACAAAATGCATGTAGTCGAATTTAGTAGAATGAAAGGAATTGGTCTAAATGTCATGTATAAGAAGACGTATTATATCTATGACAAAATTTCAGAAATAAAAATGTCCCATGTATTCCAATCAAGCGGTCAGTGCCGGTTTGCGCAACGGGTATTGGCAATACGCCACGTGAACAGTTAAACGAAAACACGGCTTTTATTGATGCTTCAATGGTTGGAACTTTTTATTTATAAAAAAAGCTTTTGTTTCTTCTTATAACCTTGACAGCTTAGACATTCGTAATAGAAGATCAAGTGAATCTCAAATGTGGCTCTTTAATAAAACTTGGGAATGGGAGCGTCATCTGCAAAAAGAACTTTTATTTCATTTTTCCTATAATACATTGGACAACCAGTTCCTGTAATACTCGTTCATTCGTTTCGGTGGTAAATTGGTATTGTCAAATAAGCGGAAGTCAAACTAGCCATCGGCTTACTTGTAAGCAACCCTCGAAAAAGAAATTTTTCGATAGCTTTTTGGCTGTTGTTGGCATTTTCAACAACTCGGGCAACTTCCCAAGTGCATCCTGCTGGCATATAAAGCGAATAGTGAAAGTTTTTGTTTTTTTATGGTGGTCAGTTCAAACGCAACATTTATCGCCTTAGATAACTACAAAAAAGAAATTCCTCTTCAGACGCTAACAAGTCTTACGCTTCATTTAAACGGTTATAGTTTTTGAATTTTTTTATAAATCTTAATAAATTTTAAGCTCCGGATTCCATTCACCTGAGCTCTATTAAAGGTTGAAAAGAAAATTTCAGGAGAAGAAGGAAACAATGAAAAGTAGGAAAAAGATAATAAAATGGAAAAGGTGTCTAAAGAAATATTTGTTATAGGTAAGAAACTTTTATTACTCCAAATATGAAAGTATAATTTTGATATATTTCAAGGTCTACGGTAGCGATATGCCAAGTCATGGTCTATTCCGGGCATTCCGTCAAGCTGATATGCAAATGATACAAGTTCATGGACGTTTGCTACCACCTCTGGATACTAGCAGCAAATTTAGGACCGGCGATAATCGTTCCAATTTATTCATCGGTTTATCGGCTCTTCACACCGTCTTCGTTCGTTACCATAATAGGTATGTAGGATGCTAGCAGCAACTAGAAGAATAAGAAAGGAAATACAATTTTCCTAGGAGGCGCTTG